ATATATATGGAATCCTAATTGGTATTGTTGATGTAAGGCACCAGTAGTGCACTTATCAATAGGCTAACCAGCCACAGTAATCTGGATAGCAACAGTAATGGTAACATGTCCCCTCTCTCTCAGTGGGTAGTTAATGGTTTTTATTGTGGATTCTTATTTTGTTACTGTTAGTTATTTCTTGATGTTTGACAATGGTAATTGTGCAATATATTCTCTCGCTGATAAGGATGGTGTACTTTGTGGAGGTTTACTGTGGTTTTCTGTGTTTGGCATTTGTGTTTTTTGAGTATATATTCATCCTCTCTGATGATGAGAGTGTATTATAGTTTGTTGTTCCAATCAAGGTGTTAATTGCTGAATACGTGAGAGTGTAAGTTATTACGTTCTCTTCATGTTGTTCAACCATATGGTGTAAATCATAAAGAATGATAAAGGCATAATAAATAAAAAAAATAGTCAATGATAACTAATATATATAGCGGTACAATAACGAAGTAATGAAGAATTTGTTGGAAATGATAATATCTGTATTGTTATTCTTGCTGCTTTTGTCGCCCTTTGTCTGTGGCCTTTCAGCCCTCCGTGATGATAGTTGCACGTATGATACTACTGTGTGGAAGAATATGAGGAATAAAACTGTGTATACACCTTCGTCTGTTCCTATTGTACGGGAATTACCTCAAAGTGGTAAGAGTACTGTTTCACTCTACACAACAACAACAACAAGTACTACTAATACATCAGGAGTAAAAAGTGATGAGGAGGATTGGATGCCTATTCGTATTCATGTCTCTTCTGAGGAGTTGGATAGAGCGATGAGGCGCTGCAGTAGTGAAATGACGGGTTCTTTTCATAGACACTCTCCATCATGCCGTGATGGAAATGTACTCACACCACAGAAACGAGACATTTTGTTGAATGAACTCCTCCCAGCAGCTATTACACTGCACAGTGAGCGTCTTCTCGTGGTGCGATCACGGTTTAATTTGGTCATCATGCAATTTATCTCAGAGATGTGCTACACATACGTTGAGCTTCCCGCAGCGTATGAGAGTGTGGGTGTGGTTCAGGCGGACTTTGTGTTGTTTGTGTTGGCAGAGACGGTGGCACCANTTTGTTACTTTTAGTTATTTCTCAATATTTGACTATGGTAACTGTGCTATATTCTGTGATTGATTATGATGATGTAGTTTGTTGTGGTTTTCTTTATCGGGCATTTGTATTCTGCTAATGAGATGATGCGCTGGATGATGAGAGTGCATATTTTTTCTTTTATTTGTTTCAATCAAGGTATGAATTTTTGAGTACGTTAGACTGTGAGGTATTACGTACTGTTCATGTTGTCCAACCCTTTGATGTGAATCGTAAAGAATGATAGTGTCAGAATAAATAAAGAAAATAGCCGGAAAAAATTAATATATAGAACAGTAGAATAACAAAGTAATGAAGAAGTTGTTGGAAATGATAATATCTGTATTGTTATTATTGCTGCTCTTGCCGCACTGTGTCTGTGGCCTTGCTGCCCTCCGTGATGATAGTTGCACGTACGATACTACTGTGTGGAAGAACATGAGGAATAAAACTGTGTATACACCTTCGACTGTTTTTATTGTACGGGAATTACCTCAAAGTGGTAAGAGTACCGTTTCCCTCTACACAACAACAAGTACTACTACTACTACTACT